GAAAGGGGTTCTCGTGTACACTACCGCCCTGTACAACGGTTGCCTTCTGGGATTCCATGTTACTTCGTGGGAGGGAATGAACTTCCACTCCAGCAACTTTGGGAAAATTTCAACCCAAAGCCTTAAACCCTAAACAGTATATCTCTATATAGTCCCCATATACCTCTACATATATATATATATACATATATAGATATTATCCTCATAAAACCTCTTCACATGGACCAAGGGTTGTGCTTCGCACCAGGCTCAAGCCTCAGCCCGTGTAGGAAACTTTCCATTGTTGTAGTATAAGGAAACCATTTGTTAAAGAATTGGGGGGGGCCTTCAAAGTCCCCACTTTACTTACTAGGGGTTGGTAGGGAATAAGGGAATATGATCCATACATGATATTCCCTATTCCCTATTAAGCCTAAACACTAAACCCCACACATATAGATATATAGCCCCCCTTAAGTAGATAGAATATGGAGTATATAGGATTCCTATTATAATATACCCAAAACCATATTCTATTTACTTAAGGGGGACTATATGCTTACATACTAGTTTAGGGTTCAGGGGTCTCTTTCTAGAGCCATCGAGACGAGCCATGGCGACAGCGCCCGCCCAGGCCGGCTTGTTAGGGTTTGGGGGCGGAACGGTTTAGGGCTTGGGTGGTTTAGGGTTGAGGGTTTAGGGTTTGACGGTTTTAGTATTTAGGGTTTAGGGTGTAGGGTTTGGGATTTGGGGACCGGGAATGTTTGAGGTTCAAAATTGTTCGCATCAGTGAGACTTGGTCCTGTTTTGCGGGAAGCTGGTGATCCCTTGGGGAACTTGAGACAATGATCATTTCCCAACTCATGTTGGGGGTGTTTCACAGCACTTGCCGGTCTTCTTTGAATCATGCTCTGTACGTGGATAGTGCTGGTCCATGGCAACGTGGCCACAAGCCTACATTGAAATTGACGCAGTCAGGAACCTTTTGCTTTTTTGATCAGAACAGCCTCGTTGCACTAAAGCAGCTATTGTCTGGAAAGCGACATTTGCTTGCAGATGCAAACCGGCCATAGCAGGATAGGTTAGATTTACTTATGAGTTATCTTATGCACCAACCCTTTTAGGTACTATGCTGACCTATCCTCCTGATCCTAAGCCCTAAATCCTAGTCCTGGACCTTGATCTAGCCTCATAGTGCCCCCACCACTTGTATATACTAGTGCCATATTGGGTGGGTTTACTACAGGGGGCGGATTGTTATTTGGAACTAGGGGATTCCGTAAACCGGAGCCCTAAAACCCTAAATCCGAACCCTCAAGCCCTAAACCCTGAGCCCTCAACTCTAAAACCAAAGCACTAAACTCCAAAATCCCTAAAACCCTAAGCCATAATCTTCTGGCTGGTGTTGAACACCGTACGGCAAGTGTAGGAGCCTACCTTGCCATCAGCTGGGTTGCTGTTAAGGGGTTTAGGGGTTTAGGGCTTAGTGCTTGGGGTTTAGGAGTTTAGGGTTTAGGACTTGAGGTTTAGGGTCAGGGTATTTAGGGTTTAGGGTTTAGGGGTTTAGTCGTTTTAGGGGTTCGGCTTGGGGTTTAGGGCTTAAGGCTCAAACTTCAGTTGCCATATGAACTATAGTCTAAATTCCTTGAAGGGGATTATATATGGGAATGTTAGGGGGGTTATTAAGGGGGATACGAGGAGTTTCGCCGATCGACTGCAGCTCTTATTTGTGGTATCCAGCGTTTAGGGAATTCTGGTAATATAGCAACCAATTGGGTTTCCTCATAACTTATGACAGTCATTTAATCTAAGTTCCTTAGCAGCAAGCTAGTAAAAGGTATTTTGAAAGCATAGGCTAGGCTTTCGAGCCTGTTGAACACAGCAGCAAATCACTGTCAGCAAGTCCCCGCCTTTTTGTGGCAAGTCCTAAATCCTAAACCTGGGGTTGGGGTTTAGGGTTTAGGTGAACTCAGCGCGACATCAGCTTGACTTCAGGGTTCTGTGGAGTTCAGGTTTCAGGTTATGGGCTTCATCTTGTGACTTCAGACCAATTCATAGACTCTTGCTTCCAAAAATTCAAGAGCACCAGAGAATTTGCAAATCAAACTCAATGATCCTTATGTTCCTCAATCATCTCTATTTGGTCTTCTTTGCACGGAGTGCAGAGCAAAATTCCGCCTCACGTTTTTGTTCTGGTCCTTGTCCTGGATAGGGCTGCTTGTCAACCCTATGCCCAAAAGTTTGTTCAGGTCGTTTCGAGGCTCCGGGTAGTGACATGTTTGACTCCGTTCCAGAAAGATTCTCGCTGGCTTGTGTTCAACCCCGCTTTGCTGGAGATGCCAGGGAAGTGCACGTGTCCTCCGAAGGGACGGCACCTTCGGCTCGAAAGCTCTTTCACGTCCGACAGCGTCAAAAAGTTTGTGGGGCTGTGCCGGCCGGATTGCATCACAGTGTTTGGTCGTGAACCTCAGTCTGGTGAAGCGCGGTGCAAGTTTTCGGGCACCTATCCAATACCAGCTACGCAGAAAGTTCTTGAGCTTCAGTTGCCTGCTCTCCCTGCTCTGAAGACCTCGCCCCAAAGCGTGCAGAGACCAGCGCGCAAGCCTCCTAGGTGGATTGGTGACTTGGGAAGATCCCTCCAATGGAACCAAGAGCCTCCTAGTACCCTGGATTCGGGATGTATGGCCCCCTAAAAGTGGCTGCTTAGGCCACAGTAGGTGGAGGGTCTAGGTTATAGGTCTCGCGAAACGCGTTGAGGTCAGGGTCGAGGTTTCCGTTGGGTTAGGCCCCCGCCAGTAGTAGTTAGAGGAGCCTAGTGATGCAGCCATGCCGTTCATCACGATGCAGGCAAATAATTGCGCCACTGACCCTAAACCCTAAACCGCGTAGGCGCCTACTCTTCATCACGGTTCTGGCTTCGGTGTTGTGACGAGGGTTCAAGGACTAGCACCAGTCATTCCGAAAAAAACATACCCATCATAGACTTTAAGCCCTCGATCAGAACTCCTTGAACCATAGCCCGTAAACCCCCAAATGCTAAAACAAATACCTAAACGACTTCTTCAAGTGACGAGGCCCGGAGTTTGAACCCTGAAATTTTGAGGGCTTAGGATTGGAAATTCTAACGTACGCCCAAAACCTTCACACACTCTGGCGGCCTGCAGCTTTTTGCCTGCAAGGCACGTCCCCAACCCTTGTTGTACCAACCCTAAACCCTCAGCCCCTAATAGCGAAGCTGTAGGCTTTGCTCTAAACCCTATCTGGCTCATGAAGCCTATCTAAACTGGACATATGAGAAACGTCCAGCCTCAACTGCCCTAAACCCTGAACCCTAAAGCCTAAACCCCAAAACAAAAACCCCAAGTGTTCAGAGCCTTTCGCCCACTGTCAGGGAGATTACGAGCCCCTCCCTGCCTCGCCGACCAGCAACCGTACCTGGGCACTTTTTTTATTAGGGTTTCGGGCTTAGGGCTCAGGGGTTTACAACGCTTGGGTTGCATAGAGTGTAATTACAGGTGACCCCAACTCCAGATGAATACCCTTCATTAACGGCATTAGAGTTTTGGGTTTGCATTTTGAGCCATTTGCTTAAGATTGCCCCTACATATTGGGGCCAAATGTTTCTCATCCTGTGCTTTCGCGCAAATCCCCTCCCCTGATCATGACTCCCCTTTCTGGCCTCACGATAAATCTTCCTAACATTGCATAATGTACCACACTGGGAATTTTTATTCTTGGGGATGGGATTGCCTTGTGAGTCTGAGCATCCTTGTCGGATGAGTAGTGCTCCTGTTGGGAGGTTCTGAGGCTAGTGAGACGCATTGGTAGGCTTGGTTACCCATTTTTCTTGGCTACTGTTAGTTCTAGAACTTAAATTAAGCTACTACAGCAAGGAAACCCTATAGTCTACTATGTACCCATGTTATGGTGACTCATTTACCGGGAAGTAGGGATACGGGGGCTCTGTGGTTGGTATTCAGGGTTTCTGATCATCTTCACCACCCATGGCAAGACAGCATGAGAAGTACCTAGGTGTTTTTTTCCGAAAAGCAAGCGTTCTCGACTCGGCTCGGGGTCCTTTGTATCGTAGACGTAAACCTTAAACCAGTTTTTGCGGTTTGCTTTCTGGAGCTTTCATGAATGGAAACTGCCGCAGTGGTTTTTGTCTGCGTTAGGGCCGTCACCTGGCAGTGGGGGGCTTCCCAAAAATCTGGCTCCCCGTTATACAGGGCAGAATGCGATAATCCTTGGCATACCGTTGATGCAAAAATGTTGCATGACCATCTTATACGAAATAGCACTGATTTTTTTTCCACGGTGTAAATTGCTTGGGGCCATGCAGGAGCTTTAGGATCCACCGTAGTAACCTTTGGGAGGAGCGGGGACATCCGGAGACTCTTAATTTTGGCGCGTGAAGGATAAGGTAGAAGCCTGGGTCTAGGGTTGAGGGTTCTATGGTCCCCTAGATTCCTTGTACAACTTTAGCATAGGGTACCTCAAACAGACTTCAACAGGATCTTGGTAATTGCTTAGACCACTGTACTAGCTCCAAATAGGGGACGGGCTGCTTGTGCAGGCTGGGTTAACCTTTATAAATAAACTTTACAGAAGTTGGGTAGCTACGAGTATTAGGTGCCGCGCGATAATAGTTGATGATCAAAAAGGGCTCATCGTTTTCAGACTAACTCAATTGATAAGCCCTACACCTGGATTGGTCAGGAGCATGTATAGCACCCAAACTGTGGATACATAGGATGACCCATAAATGCACCTAGATATACTCTTCTGCGTAATACCAGTTTCCCTTTAATTTGCCGTGTCCTTGTCCCTTCGATTCTCCATTCTTGGGGTATCTCCGAGTACTCACCCCTAAGCCCTAAACCTTCTGTACCTACCGGAACCTCTGCTGGTAGACCATGTAAAGCTGCTAAAGCCCTAAACCCTAAAGCCCTGCTATTACCAAGCCAGCCGGAAACCTTCCGAAGCCGGAAGCATTTGAATCTGTGTGAGTCTCTGCGCAGGCAATGGACCGGATGGCGCTCAATTGTGCCTTTTCGAGCCTCGCATGAACGTTGTACTTGTTTCCACAAGAGAGAGTGTGTGTGTGTGTGTGTGTGTGCGCGCGCGCGCGTGTGTGTGTGTGCGCGCGTGTGTGTGTGTGTGTGGGTGTGTGTGTGTGTGTGTGGGTGTGTGTGTGTGTGTGCGTGCGCGTATGTGTGTGTGTGTGTGTTCAAGGATTTGGATTTGAGTGCAAACGTGGTTTGGGCAGGGGCTTTGGGTTTCGAAGCCTTCGCTTGGGCCCGAGCTTAGCGATCCTGAGGGATGAAGGTTTAGTCTTGAGATTGGTTCACTCTGAGGTTGTCTAGGCCCACCTTCAGATCCACCTTCAAGGTCCTTTCCACCACAGTCCTGGTTGTGAGGCAGTCCTCTGGACTCTGGACGCAAGCAGGTAAATTAACAGCCTCTTCAGTAGGTGATCGTTGGAACTACAGCTGAGAACAAAGGGCCCACCACGTAAGATACTGATTGTCCGGGCTCTTTTAACCAGCTAAACCCATAAACGGGACACTTGCACTACAGGTTGTAGATTACTGTAGCGCATGCTCCTGTCCGTCTCTGAAAGACCCTGAGGCCATCGGCGTATTGATGTCGATCGGAGCTATTTCGTTGGCGATCGAGCGGAACGCGTGCCAAGACCATAGTTTGTCAAAGCTTGCTTTTCGCCGAGGAGTATATAGCGATGCTTTTGTGGAAGTAAGACAGGTAAGTAAGACAAGCGTGCCAAGTTTTGGGCTCAACACACATACACACACACACACTCACACTGCATCATTGATTGATTGGCTGTTTGATCCAGGTATTGTGACCCGGATCAGCTGCTGGGTGTGGAGCCCCCATATGGTGGCGATCTGCTGCCAGATCGTTTCATTCTCTCGGAGCGAAAGCAGTATCTCAAGCTTTCCAAAATCATAGACGCATCTGGCACATTCTTAAGAAGAGGTTTCTGTTTTGCGATTGTTGCTGTCCCTTGATTTGTCAGAACCATTGCTGTGCGGCTTGTAGCTGGTTGCAGCATGTTGCGGGAATGTACCCTTTTCACCTCCCGTACCACACCCAAGGTGTACGATGAAAACTGGGTGAGGATGGGCTACTTCTATGACTTGAACCTCCTCTTCATCATGCGTTTCGGGTATCTGCGTGATTGTTGAAGAGGTTGTCTTTCAAGTGTTGCACTTTTTTCTATCAGTGCCGCCATCCCTCCTCAAACCATCTGAGAGAGTTACCGAGAGCCCTAAATTTCAATCTCGCCCTCAAAGCAATTTGCATGGCTAATGGCTTTCTTTATGAAGAAAGCCAAGAAGCCTAGCTGCCTTAAAGGAGCCTGTACCTCTTTCCTGAGCCAAGCCCCCTAAATCGACCTATTCGAGCCAGAGCTCTAGCTTGGGTTGGTGGGCTCTTTATCGGTTCTCTATATGAGCTATAGGCTAAACTCCTTAACGGGGGTTGTATAAGGGACTATATAGAGGACTCGGATAGACTGTGGCTCATATCATCATATCTTGATTAGTACAACCCCTATGTCCCTGAAACTCGACACAGGGATACAACATGCCCACACAATATGCCCTATAAACAGACACCCCATTGAAAGGGCCCATCGGTCTGTTGGCCTGAATACGAGGTTAAATTTGCGGTAGGGGTTAAGTCTACGCCTAAATCCCTACCCCAACTCTAAGATCCATTATCCCAGCATATCCCAGCTATTGTCATGAATTCCGCAAAACCTGGGGGGCAGATTGTGCGTTGGAGGGCCACGGGTCGAGCTTTGTGAGTGATAGATGAGGTATCTGCAAAGTACCAAAACGAGGGATACACAGGGTGACCTACAACTCTGCCTAAGTTCCCCTTGCCAGTTCCAGCCGGGGCGCTCCTTCCGGAACCTGCGTTTTCACTTTATGAGTCCTCGGCCAGGCAGAAATCAATACCCAACCAGCAAAAATTCTGAAGAATACATATCAATGAGCAAAATTTTCAAACCCGAAATCAATTCCCCCAGTGGAACTTGTCACAATCATCCCTACATAATCCGAAAGGGCACCCTTGGTTCCTCTACCAATAATTCCCTCATTTATCCCTGGGGTCCCCCACTTTAGGAACCTTGCAAACCGTAAACCCTAATTCCTAAGCCCTGAACCCTATAAAACACGCTCTCTAAACTCTCAAACAGGTACTCAGACAACTCCGACCGGATCTGGTTCGAGGCGAAGCGCTCGAATCTGTTTCGCCGTATCTTTCAGCTGGGGAGGAACCTTTACCTCCAGTTTCTTACCCTGCATTTTCACAGGATTAAGGGTTTAGTGTGGTGGTGTCTTTGGAGACTGGGAAGCTTCTAAATCAAAGCGTTTAGATATTCTATGATATTCTAGTAAGGGCGCTTCTGGTATAGAAGTTGGACGCCTGTGGTCAACTATTTCCCAATGTTCCCAAGGTGTGATCGCTTAGGGTTCTACATGAAAGGTCCAAAAGCAGGAACATGGAAATACGCAGGTCTACTTGCTGTTTCTCCTGGGCCTTGACCCTCCCTTTTGTCGTTGGGTTGGGTGGGTCCGATTATAAAACCCTAAGCTCTAAACCCTGAACTTTAGGGTTTAGGATTTAGGGTTAAATCCCCCCCTTAAGTAGATAGAATATATCTTTGGGTATATTAGAATAAGTTCCCCATATTCTATCTACTTGGGGGGATCCAACTCCCTGGCTTCTACTGTGGGGTTGGATCCTTGGGCAAGAACCCTAGAAGAGCCTGTGGATGTTTCCGGGGTTATATTAGGAAACCCTAAACCCTAAGTCCAAGTACATTTATTCTAGCTTAGAGGGACATTCCCTCCACTGTTCTACGTAGCCAAGCCACGGGGCAGCTAGTTCAGCATGAGGGGTGGCGAGGGGGTGGAGCCCTATACTAATCCTTATATGAACCCTGAGAAACGGACCAACATTGCCTCCTAACTCTCTATACTAAACGGACCAACATTGCCTCCTAACTCTCTATACTAATCCCTGTATAAACCCTAAGAGTCCTGTCATAAATTCACTCCCGACTTCACCACTTGCAACAGCAAGTAGATTTACCAGATGATTTTGAAGCTGTCATGCGACGTGTATTCAAGTTAGCAGGGTATCCCTGGCTCGTAGCTCTGGGTCTAGAACATACATCATAGGCATTCTTCTGCCATGACCGGGCAATGATACAGACTCGTGATTTTACATGTCATCCCCATAAGGCCCTAAACCCTAAACTTTGGCCCCAACCCCTGCAAGTTTACGGGCACCTTCCGAGACTACGTCTGAGGCGTTGCGATGTGGGGGCCAGCGGTCGGCATGGCGGCGTTTTCGACCTGAAGCTTAGCCGGGCAGCATGGGCATTATATATATATACATATATACATATGTATATGCATATTCATTCATATAGGTATACACATATGCAGGGGCAGATTGGCGTTGTTCCCTAAGGGTTTTACATAAGAGTCGAATGGACAGGAAGATGGAAAATTGAACTTGGATGATACCAGAGTTTACAGGGCCAGGGGTTGTAGGTAGGCAAAATCGCAAACTATAACCAGGCAGTGTCCGACAGCTCCGGAAGAAATAATTGTGGATAAGGCTTCTGTTTCATGGCTACCTGACTGGGTAGGCATCAGCATCATGAGCCACTTGCAACGGCTGGGGCCTTTTGATTAGCATTATGGGGGGAGGAGTAGGATGGCATAACCGCTGCTACTGGAAGGAGGCCGCTAACCATAGGTTATAAGAAAGGGTAAGAAAAGGTTGGTTGACAGTGAGATTGTTTCAGCCGCAGCGACCACTTGCAGGATAGCTTAGGCGTACTTACGGGTCATCCTTTGTATCCCGTTTTAGGTAGTGTGCATGCACAGAGCGTATCTTGGTTGTGATTGCTCAAACGTACACGACTTGCGATGGGATTGAAAAGAAATTGGGACTGCCTACCCAGGAGAGAGGATGTTTGGGCTGCTCGGCTTTGAATTTCCCGGGAACCTCATACCCCCAAAATAAGGGAGACACCTTCAATCATATTCACGTTCCGAGTATAACTCAGGTTATACTCCTTCTCAGATTGTCACGGGAACTTAGTAAGTATACCTATATCCCCTATGGGCCATACTTACAAAGTAACCCCAAATATCCCCAGTGTTAACCTACTTACTAAGTCTCCCTGACCCTCCATGTAACCGTAAACCCCACTGATGCCAACATCAGTTTCCATTTCAGGTTGCCTTTTTTCTTTTTCCATGTGATCCTCTATTATTCTTACATGATCCCGAAACCCTATATGTTCCCCGCGTATCCCCCATATGCCCCCTATATATACCCAATAGTCTCCCTTCAAGGCACCTGGGCCTTCCATTTGTTTTTCATGTTTTCCATTTGGGTCTCCATTGTTAGGGCAACTATCCCTAAACCCTATGTACCCCACACATATATCCCGCAAATGTATTCCCTCCAGTCATTCCTTGATTACAGGATATGGTGTCCTACGGGTTGATCGCAGCGTACCAGTGGGGCTACCACGAATAATCCCCATTTTCGCAGACAAAAGCCCAAAGGGTCCATGTAGCTAGATAGCATATACTTAGGGCCCAAGGGGGTTCCCATACAGCTACTTTAGGGCCCAAGCATACCCTCACTCTCCAACATAATTCTTTTGGAGTAGTATATTAATCAATCCCCTACCAAAGACCATAGCAGACCCAAAAAAGAACTACATTGGAGCCCTTGGGTATACTAGGTAGCCGCATGGACCCTTTGGGCAAGGGTTCCCCAAAGGACCCTGAGTCAGATGGTACTTTCTGCTAGCCCCGAAGGTCCTTTTCGCGATTCTCCTCGCGCGGAGTAGGTTTGAGGGCTTAGGGTTTAAGGTTAAGGGTTTAGGGTTGTTGCAAGCTGCTGTAGTCTAAGACAAAGCATGCATGGAACGGCCCACGGTCCGCTCCCAAAGATTGGTCCTCGAATCATCCTGAAGCCCATAACCGCAAACCCCACATTCACGCTATCCGGGGACTATGTAGGTATGGATCCCCCAGACAGTCAAAGCGCCTTCTAGTCTAGGAATCGAGGGTTCAGCTCAGTATTGTGGGCTTTGGATAAGATAGGGTTGAGGCTTTAGGCCTTAAACCCTAGACCCTATCAACCCTAAACCTGAACTGAAACCGACTAAGGCGGAGGATTGGACCTGCTTTCAAAACTGTGTCAACGTCTACAACGTCACGCGGCGGCCCGTGAAACTTACTCCTGTTTGAGGTTTCTAGGGGTTAGGTTTTCGGCCTTCGGCTTGGGGATCGGGGCCTGGGGTATAAGGGGCTTAAGGGTTGGGGTTTCCGGGTTGTGGTCTAGGGCTTTGGGTTTGAGGCTCTGGGCTGAAGGTATAGGGGTTCAGGTTCCAGGGGTTGAGGGTTCACGGTAGGAGCGACAGAACATAGGGGGGTTGAATTACTGTTGGGGACGAAATAGGGTTCACTGATGATATGACCTGCTTTGGGGCTTGAGTTCTGGAAACGTAGCATAGTTGGAGCCAGATGACGTCCTAAGAATGGAGAACCGTGTGGACGATCGGTGGGAAAAACGAACTGAGAAGCTTCAATCAGGGGCCATGTCGGTCATAAGAACAAAGCCCACAACTCATGATAAGAATTGTTCCCCCCTTTCTGTAATGGTGCTCTATTAGGCATGTTTATTTGCAGGGCATGGGTGCCCGATATCATAACGAGGAAGTGGGTAGGCACGCAGCAATAACCACCCTAACCTCAAATGCCCAACCCCAGCTAAAAAGCACCGGTACCCTGAAGTCTAAACCCTACACCTGAAACCCTAAACCCTAGACCTAAGGAATCCAGTACATGCTACCTCGCCTAGCGGCGACATGCCGGTGGCCAATGTCGTCTTCAACTCGACCCTGGAGTGGCCCGGCATAGAGCTTTACGGGGTGGCTGTTAAGGAACCTAAGTTGAGCTACTATGATAAGCCCTAGTATTAGTATTTACCAAATACCCATGATATGGTAACTTAATTTAAGGACCCAGTTCACGCTTTAGAGGTCAGCCTTGAGATTCTGCTGTGATGTCAAGCACAAATGGCTAGACCACGCGAGTCCTTTCGAGGGCATCGTGCTGTTTGTCATGCTGCTTTGGCCTGATGGTGGCTGACCATCTAGCCCGACCACCCTCCTCACGCTGTCTGAGGCGGCCAAAACAACCTAATCTATCCCTATTCCGGTCCTGACTCTGTTCGGCCAATCTTGGTCAAAAACACATGTACATCTCCTGTGTTAACATGCTCGTCGCAGTTTCACAGGTGGTTTGGCTGTTGGGAGGTGTCTGGTAAGCCCCGGAAGGCCCATGAGGCCCCTTTTGCACACCCTGACACCCCTCCACAGGCCTTGTTCATGTCCTCAGTGGTTTGGGGAATCTTGAGCTGCTTACATCCAGCATTTGCAGGGTGTAGGTATAGTACCAAAAATAGGGCCACAAAGGATGACCTACGTACGCCATAAACCCTACCCTCACCCTCCAATGCAGTGCCTTTTGGAGTAGTAGGTGAATAAAACCCTTTCCAAAAGCATAGCAGACCCAAAAAAGGAACTACAGTGGAGCCTTTGGGTAGAGCCTAGAACCCTACAAGTACACCTAACCTGCCTGGGTAAGGTGGTACCACCGTGGGTTTGTTCTTCCGGGCGCTCGACACCGGTGGACCATGAATATGACCCATCCAGGGGATGCTGGGCAGAGTTTGGTAGAGAACCCTGAACCCTAAACCCTATAGGTTTAGGGCCCAGGGTTTAGGGTTTAGGGTTTCGGGTTTAGGGTTATAGACCCAAAACCCAAACATGAAGGTTGGCCCTTTTGGGGGCTGTTGCTCTGGTTCAGACCACTTCCTAGGAGAAGCTATGCTTCTGCAGGCTCATATAGTTTCAGGACTGTCAGGTGTGGGGAGAAACCCTGAACCCAAAACCGAGCAAACCTTGTCATCTCCCACCAGACTTCAGATCACTGTGCGGAACCAAGTGCCCAAACAGGAATCACATAAGCTTTCATCTAGACTCCTTAAAGGGAAGTATATAGCGGAGTAGTATAGGGGCTATAAGGGGGATACTCAGAGTTTAGACTATAGCTCACATGGGCCCAAAGTGTCTCTACAGGAAGCCATCTGAGCCCACATTGCAGCCTACTGTGGACACTAAAGCCTCCACGGTTT